CTTCAAGAGTGGGGAGAGCTCTGCAATGTCAAATGTTCCAGACAGCACCAGATTGCAGAGGAAAGACATGGACATGTAGAATAAATGGTGAGCCTCCAATGCAGCCTCAGAGGAATGGGGAGGCTAGGTAGGAGGCAGGGAAAGACATTTATTTCAGAGAAGCAGTAGCTAAAGATCAGAGATGACCTCTCTCTCCTTCCTTCATTCCTCAGAGAGCATCATCAGCTAACTGCTACCAAGAGCAAAGTCAGGGGGCCAGCTTGTTCCCTTTCCATTGTTGAAGTCAACTTCCCAGTCCATTCTTCTCCTCACCTTGAAATCCAGAGTGAAACATTTGTCCAGTGTCCCAGGAGCAGAGACTTCTCTCTGCTTAGCATCTAGATAATTTGAATTAAAAATCTAGCCATGGTTGTCTTCCTCATTATCAACTACTCTGGACCCCAGAGGAGACTGATCCGTCACTAGGAACTTCAGGCCAGTGTCTGAAAGCCACAAAGACTCTAGATGTGTGTTTGGCAGTGGGATGGGGGAATAAACCAGGGGAGACCAGATACTGTTTCTTTGGAACTAGCTGTGTGCTGCTTTGACCAATATAGGATAAGGTAAAGATTCATGGCTTATAAAACTTAAATATATATTTTAGGGATCAGGCAGATACCACGAGTGGCAAAGGCAGGGTAGGTTAAGGATGAAATGGAATAGAATAGAACTTAGAACACATATTGCTCAGCTGTTTTCCTGCAGGAATATGGTTCCAGTGTGCTAAAGAGAAGTAGGAAATCAGGAACTGATTTCCATGTTTTTCAGGTTGGTAATAAAAAAGTAGATGTGGGAGACAAAACATCTATAACTAGGACTCTGGTCTCCAGCTATCACTTTGTGACTTAATGAAGTATGAAGGGAAATAACTCCTTCATTTCTTTTGCAAATCTGGTGACTGAGCCAGGGCTTTGCATAAATGATCCGCCACTGAGCCACACTGCCAGCATTTCTCCATGCATTACTTGCCACCCCTCCCCATTCCCGCAACATTTCCTTCCTGCTATCCCTGCCCTCCTTTCCTTGGCATTCATTGAGCTTGGATAGTTTTCTCCTGGTTCCTTGTTTGCTGGCTCTGAGGAAAGAAGACAGATGGGCAATGCCTTCTACTGTGACTGGGGATGCTGGGAGATATTTCAACCCTAGTTTAGTTTCTCAGATCCACAAGGATGCCATCAGTTTTAAAGCACTCGAGGGCAAACACAGAACCTCACTGAGAAAATTAATTTCCATTTAAAACCCATCCTTATATAACCTGAATATAAATAGGAATGCTTCTATCTGTGCATGGTGGCGCAGGCCTGTAATCTCAGCACCCAGGAGACTGAGACAATAGGATATGGACTTTGTGGCCAGCTTAGACTACATAGTGATACCCTATCTCAAAAAACTGGAAAATAAAAAAGTAAATAGCATGTTTTTCCTATCACATATACTTGAATCACTCAGGGGCTTAGATAATACTATTATCTGACTCCCAGCCTAGACCTATTAAATCCATTTCTCTAGAGGATGGACTCTGTCACTGCAGTTTCAAATGCTTCACAGATGACTCTAATGAACAGCCAAGGAGCTAAGAACCACTACATAGGTAATAGGCTGGTATGGATAAGAACATGAAAGCATGTAAAAATCTGGAATTCTTCCTGGGGTAGTGAAAGTATCAATGAATGGCACGAAGGGCCAAAGAGCATTAGAACGGGACTGTGGTATGCTCCATGGTTCTGTGGCTTATAGGCTGTCTGGATTGAGACTGTGAAATTAGGATGGGGGATCAGGATCCTCTGGACTGGATAATGGCCCTGCAGAATGGAAATTTAAGGAAAAGGGTTCCTAGAGTGCTAATTACTGTATTGATCTGGCGAACAAGGAATTAAAGGTGGTCAGATGTGGGCTAATGGAGGAAACACTAGTGGGGAAGGAAGAAAAAGAGAGGGTTCATTTCTAATTTGACTTTTCAGGAGCAGTTTAGGCCATTGTAACTAGAAAGTTTGGGGCTTGTCATCTGGTGTGACTCCCTCAAAGACCTGTCGTCTTATGTACCTAAGAATCTCTTCTGATGTTCATTGCATTGGCCAACGTTGGTTATAGACTAACAATGTTATCCCATTCATCTGTACCCTGGTGTTGTATTTGTTCATTCACTCAACAATATTTAGGTTTTGGTGACACAACCTCTATTCTCTAGGAACTTAAGAGTCCAACAGAGACCTTCATATCTGTAACTATCACATACACACAAATGCACAATTCCATATGTGCTTATAAAATGAACTTTTTTTGGAACCAGTCCTGGAGCTTGAAATCAGGGACTGGGCACTGTCTCTGAGCATTTATGATCAAGGCTAGTACTCTATCACTTGAGCCACAGATCTACTTCTGGCTTTTTAACAGTTAATTGGAAATAAGAATCTCACTGAGTTTCCTGCTAGCTTCCAATTGTGATCTTCAGATCTCAGCCTCCTGTGTTGCTAGGATTATAGGCGTGAGCCATCAACATTCAGCTTCAAAATTAACATTTTCATAACTGTTTGGAGAAATATAGAAATCTATGAGAATATATAACTGGAAAGTCCAATCTGGTTGAGGTGGAGGGGGAGTGTGCCAAGGAAATGAGGAAATGATACAGAGAAATAATACAGAGGCTAGGTCCTGAGGAATGCATAGAGATAAACTCTCTCTCTCTCTCCATGTTCCAGAAGGAATTGGAATTGAATGTGCTAAAGCATAGAAGCAGAAAAGGGAGTTTGGAACATTCTGGGAGCTGAGTAAGGACCAGAAAGTCTAGTTCGCCATGAAAGAAGTAGCACAGATATGAACAGTGATCTTCAGACCTGACCAAAAATGTATGAGCATAGCTGGGTGCTGGTGGCTCACCTATATTCCTAGCTACTCAGGAGGCTGAGATTTGAGGATCACAGTTTGAAGCCAGCCTAGACAGGAAAGTTTGAGACTATTTTATTTCTAATAAACCACCAAAAAATGTGCCCAAAATGGAACTGTGGCTCAAGTGGTGGAATGCTAGCCTTGAGCAAAAAACAGGTCAGGGACAATGGACAGGTCCTGAGTTCAAGCTCCAGGATGGCGTGTGCAGGGACACACACACACACACACACACACACACACACACACACACGCAGAGTTTGTGATCACTTTGTGGTATGATTGAGGACTACTTAAAAGTAGGGAGGACTTGTTTTTCCTTTTCATTACTTTCCTAGGTTAGCCAATCAAGACAAATCTGATGGGAATTAATTCCTGCTACTATGAGATTATTAAAGAGCAAGCTTACATTCTAGAATTCAATCTCCAGTACTTGAAACAAGCAAAAACTCTACAGACCCACCGAACAAGCTGGAAAATACTTCCCAGCAAAAGAAGGAATTAAAAAAATGCAGCCAAGATAAGAAGTGACGTAGAAGCGGGACAAGCAGTAACTTTTCTCTTTTCTTATTATGCCAAAAGTTTATGAGATTCTGTGAGTTCTGGAGAATGAAATTTAATAATAACATAAATAACAGTATTGACAAGGAAGAGTGACATAAGTGATATCCAGGTGCTATGGTAAAGGCTGCAAGTATTCAGTCAACCCTTGGAATCCCTCTGAGATTGATTCTAAGATACCTCCCAACCTTTCACACCAGTTCTTTATGATGATGTAGTACTTGTGTATAACTTGAGCATATCATTTTGTCTACTGTAAATAATATCTATATTATTCACAACTCAGTACAGTATAAACAATTTCCTTATTATATTATTTAGGGAATAATGACAAGAAAAAAGTACACATGGTTAGTAATGATATTTTTTCCCCCAAATATTTTCAGCCCAAGTTTGTTTGAATACACAGGCAGTATACAGTTAGTGGGCCCATTGAATTGTCTTATTTAATTCTCATACAACCACATTGGATAGTCACTTAAACACTTACAATATAGATGTTAGGGTTTCTGTCAAAATAGTTATTATCTCTACTTCTTATAATATAATCATCCAGGGGTGAGGAATATTTGGCCAGTGTGTTGTGTAAGGCCCTCAAAATCACTTGATAAATGGTGGGACAGACAAGTATGCTTCTCATATGCCTAAGGGCATATAAGATTTTATAAATATCCAAATGGCCCCTGGCAGAAGAAAAAATCCTCACCTCTGGATGGGAGAAATATACCTAAACAAATAAAAATAAATACATAGGATGAATGATAAACATGGAAGGTGTAACAATAAAAGGCAATCTACTTCTGGGAAGTTCTTAAAGTGAGACCTAAAGTATAGGAAGAATCCAGCAGACAGAGGAAGGACCTTGAAAAAGATGTAAATAATGAGTTCAAGCCCCATGACCGATAAAAGAGTTGTAAATAACAGAGAGGACTTCTTCCTCTGTCAGTGAAGCTGAATGGTCAGGAAGGGTAAATAGAGGGACCAGGAGAAGAGTTATGCTACCTAAGTCTAAGCCAGACCACCCAGGATCATGGAGACTGGATTTCTTTCCAAGTGCAATGGGAAGCCTGTGTGGTTGTAAACAGGCAAGGGAAAGATTTGATTTATGTATGCTAGCTTTCTTGTAGAGAATGGATTGGAAGCTACAAGAGCAAAATCAGGAGAGTTGTTCAGAGGCTATTGAGTATTCCAGGTAGAAGTGCTGAAAGTTGATTATAGGTTGGTCACTGGAAAAAAGTGAATGGATTCAAGATAAATTTGGAAGTAGATTTCAAAGCATTTGGTGATTGAAAGCTGTAGTCAGGGATGACTTCGATTCCTGGTTTGAGCAGTGGAGTTGATGTATTATTGCCACCCTCTTTGTTTCTTCAAGTTTTTTGTTTTTGTTTTTGTTGTCGTTGTCGGTCATGGGGCCTAAACTCTGAGCCTGGGTGCTGTCCCTCAGCTCTTCAGCTCAAGGGTAGCGCTCTACCACTTGAGCCACAGCATCACTTCTGGCTTTTTCTGTTTATGCGATGCTGAGGAATCAAACCAGGGCCTTATACATGCAAGGCAAGCACTCTACCACTGAGCCACCTTCCCAGCCTTCAGTTTTTAAGACTAATGTTCCAAGAGATTAGGAAACACATTGTAGGAGGTATGTCTAGTAAATGATGTTTCAGGATATGCATGCCATACCATCCAACTCCAGGTGCTGCACACCTAGCCAAAATACTATATTCTATTTCTAATAGTCAGATCCTGTTGCTTTCTGAAAGGAGAGACGTGATCACCTGCTGAATTTATAACCTGTCAACTATAACTCTGCTTGTTTAGCTTCATAGAGAAAGTCAGTAGGCAGGAGTGTTAATGGAAATAGCTTTTGCCTGGACTGGATTGAAAAGCATTATTTGGATTACAGGCTGGAGATGTTGTCACTTCTTAGGTGTATGACTTAGGTAAGCAGGATCAAGTCTGAAGGACTGAGAAGCAAGAATCCTAGGTATTCAGATTCTGTTGCCAGGAAGAAAACCAAAAACCAAGCTTTCCTTTTTAGGATCAGGAGATGGGTCATTCCTGAAATATGCTGAGGTCTTTCAGCAACTTACTTGATGTCATTAAGGCCAGTTGCCCTGGGAGAAAAGGGCTTTCTCTACAGGAAAAAAGAGGAAAATGATATAGGTTAATAGACATCAGAACAGCAGCCTGCCAGATTAGACCAGGCAAGACAGCCCTGACAGTTAGATAGTAGGGATACTGATGGCATGAAGCAGGATTAAGTGAACAAAAACAAAACCACCCAAGATTGTTGAGAACTCAGTTATGTGTATTGACCCTAAACACAAAATAACTTCATTTTGGTGATGTCCTGAGGATTTTGACAGCCAGTGGGTATTTGGGCATCTGTAAAATCGCCCTTTTACATTTATTTTATTGTGAAAATCAGAGGACTGAGGAGAAGGATAAGAAGATGAAAAATAGGGATTGATCATGACTTTACCTCCCTAGAATGATTAATGATGGAGTAAATTGTTAATGAATCATCATTTTTCTTTAGTGTTGGGATTTCCATTTCCTGTAAAAAGAAACATTTTTTTGGATCACAAAGAGACAAAGAGATCAATGCATTTTCCATTCTTGGGAAAGGCAGTATGACAAAACCAAGAAATGTTTAGCAAGAGGACTAGCAAAGGACTGGGGTATGACTTAAATTGCAGCCTGTCTAGCAAAAATGAGGCCTTAAACTGGGCGCCAGTGGCTCACACCTATAATTCTAGCTACTCAGGAGGCTGAGATCTGAGAATCACAATTCAAAGCCAGCCTTGGCAGGAAAGTCCATGCCACGCTTATCTCCAATTAACCACCAAAAGGCTAGAAGTGGAGCTGTGGCTCAAAGTGATAGAGTACTAGCCTTGAGCAAAAAAGCTCAAGATTGCATCCAGGCCATGAGTTCAAGCCCCAGTACTGTCAAAATAAAGAGGAGTAGAAGACCAAGCACCTACAGCTCAGACCTGTGAGGTTTTAGGGGTAGATCTTGGGTCTCAAACAAAATAGCAACACCTTAGCAAGGCTGTGTGAAATTATATACCCGATAATTATTACATTATATCTTTTGTCTGAATTTTATTGTTAGCAATGACTGTAGCTGCATGTTTTGCTTGCTCTATTTATCCCTGTCTTTCTAAAGACCTGGGCACCATGTTGTTGTGGTCTCCTAAAATATTAGGCACTGGCAGACCAGGAACACCTTGATCTTAAGAATGGCTTTGCCTGGAATATATGCTGTAGTAGTAACAGCCCCATGTGTCTTATAGATTTCTTCACAATTTCTGACATTTGGGAGCATTTAGACAATTATCAAGACCTCTGCAGAGAACTTATTCCGGTCCCCCCACCTCGGCCCCTGGAAAGGAGCAGCTAACAAGTTGACTGGAGATTAGTGTTTCTGGTTTGATGGAGACTGTTTTCAGCTTGCTTTCAACAGGAATTAGGAAAGGCAAATGGGGCAAGTACAAGTAGCCTTTCTTGTCCCCTCTCTTCAAGGATCTGACTTCACAAATACCTGAGATTTGCTTAGGAAATCCAAGACTACTATCTGGCCATTGTTTTCACCAACTTCAGAATGCCAAGTTTTATTTTCCTATTTTTCAAGGGCATAAGACTGGACTTTCAGGATGTATAGTATTATTTAGAAACATGCCACTGCAGGTGCTTTGTGTGTGGTGGGGACAGAAGAGTGATGGAAATTTATGATGCTTGGCCACAGCCATCCTATTATGTTGCTAAAGGGGAGAGGAGGAATGAGGGCTGCCCATATAATTAAAATCTCTTACTATGGAGGAGTTGCAAATTCTTGCCCCTCTTCTCTTTAGGGATCATTTCTTTTCTTTTTTCTTTTTTTTTTTTGTCAGTTATAGGGTCTGAACTCTGGGTCTGGGCACTGTCCTTCATCAGCTCTTCAGCTCAAGGTGAGTGCTCTACCACTTGAGCCACGGGGACAATTCTGGCTTTATTTTTCTGCTTATGTGGTGCTGAGGAATGGAACCCAGGGCCTCATCCATGCTAGGCAAGTACTCTACCACTGAGCCACTTTCTCAGCCTTAGGGATCATTTCTTAACTCCCCTAATGTGCCTACTACATCCAGGGTGAGAAGCTTGCAGTAGTTTGCTTTGGAAACCCTAGCTTAGTGCAACCCTGATCTTCTCGTTTGTATGTATGTATGTATATATGTGTGTATGAATATATGTATGTGTATATATATATATATTGTGTTGGTATGGTGTGGGGCCTGAACTCCTGAGCCTGGGCACTGACCCTTAGCTTTTGTGCTCAAGGCTGGTACTCTACTACTTGAACCACACTCCACTTCTGTCCTTTTACTGGTTAACCAAAGGCAAGAGTTTCAGGGATTTTCCTTCCTAGACTGACTTCAAACTATGGCCCTCAGATCTCAGCCTTTTGAGTAGCTAGGATTATAGTTATTAGCCACCAGCACAGGCTCAGCAAGTATTCACCGAATTCTCCAGGCTATAAGAGGAAGATCGAATTTGTACTTCAGACAGCTTGTAACCACACCAAATACATCTTTTTAGATGTACTAATGCATCAAGCCGTTAGAAACCAGTGGAAAACAAGGTAGGAATAAACATTCTTTTAGGGGAAGACTGGCAGACTCCAGAATGGTTTTGCATATAACTTTGCTGTCCCTGTTACTATCTTCTCCCCTCAGTGGTGAATATCATTTGGATCAGTCAGATAATTGTGGTGATAGCTTGTAGATAGTCATTGTTAAAGAACGACAATAACAACAACAACAACAAACAGCCACAATGATGGAACACCAGGCTGAATGGACTCACCTGTCTTGGATGAGTGATCTGCGCATACACAGTACTTCCTGGAGAAACTAAGGTGTTTGCTGAGTTTTGCAAGGACTGTACTGTTAACACAAAAAAAGTCAACATTAGTGGTACAAGGACTTGGCTGTTGTCCCCAGGGCCTAGCTTTTTCCAGAGCATTTTCTGTTTTCCCCAAATTAGTTGTTCCAGGCCTTGCCTTTAGGGTTCATTCATTTTTGACAGTCTTTGGATTTCTGGGTTGAAGCAGAACCTTTTCAGTCATATGGTTCTCATCTGATCTCATCTCTTGGGTGAGAGGTGGTCTTGTGCCCTTGTGCTTCAGTGTCTCCCTCAGATACGTGCAAGATTGAGTGACACTGCCTAGGGAAGAACTGGAAATACTGCCCTCTGAGGCTTTGTACTTGGATTTGATCATTGTAGAGATGAAGAACTGCCAACTGACTTGTGTAAAGTCACATAGGTACTGATTGATGAAATAGGAACTCAAATGTAGATCTTCTGTCCCTCCACAACAATGTGTCTCCTATCTCTCACTCATGGGATGAGATTCAAAGCCAACCCCACTCCAGAGTCTGCATTTCCATCCCTAAATCATATTTTCTTTTTCAACTCTATCTGTATACTACCCATGCCCTGGCTGAACAGAAATGACAGAATCATAGGCAGTCTGGTTTTACTCTTTTGAGGCTCAAGCTGTCTCTGAGTTGGATTTTTTTTTGTGTGACAATGGATAGGCCACAAATAATTTCACTGGCACTTTTTTATTCTGGTGACCCTGGTAGTGACCCTAATCTTGCTCTAGGAGACCATGAAATTCCTCACTTGCTTGTGAGGGACGCTGGGGGTGTCTCATGTCTAGTTATCTCTCCTTATACTATAAGGTCTGTCTAAACAGTGATGTCCTGATTTCTTCCTCTTTTATTATTCAGCCCCTTGACTAGACCTCTTCATGCATTGCTTCCTGTCTACTTTATGATTGGCAGTTAACAGTCTGATACTTACCAGGATGCTGAGGTTGCTCAGAAGAAACATGAAAGGAATCTGAAAAAAAAACATAACTGGAAATTGAAACTAGTGACAGCAGTGAGAAAAGCCTTCTTACCCTTCTTCCAATAGGAGTCAGTAGATGTGTCCAAAAGATAGAGCAAATGGGCAGATGGACTCTGAGGCTGAGTCTTGCTTTTCCCAATAGGACACCTCCTTCAGGATATTAGCAGGTCTACAGTGGGCTAGCTGAGCAAGGGTTTGCATCCCCCACCCCACCCCATTCAACTGTCCTTCACAAGAGATCCTTGGCAATGAGAGACTGCAGACTCTAAATACCTGCACCCTTGGAGAGAAAATTCAGAAGAAAACCTGCCTCTTCTTTTCCTCCAAACAAGTATGCACACAAGGATGATTATAAGTATGGCGACAACAAACGTAGTTATAATCCATGTACCTCCTTGGTATAGATTTTCCTTAGTTAAGACACCTGGAAAAAGAAAAAAAAACCCACTCAAGTGTGTCTTGAGACACATTTAGTGGGGCCCAGAGTGTTGGTGTCAGTGCCTCTATGGGGTCTCTTCTAGGCTCTCTGCAGGGGCTGGGTATATTCATCTATATTAGAGCTTTGGAACTCTGGCAGGCCTTCTGGGAAATGGGAGTCCATGTGACAGAGGGCCTGGTGGAGATGGGGAGAAAGCAATCCTGCCTACCTGAGACCTTTGCTCTCAGAGGAGTGCTTGGGGAGAGATAGAAAGGGGCATGGGTGAGAGGCATGTCCCCTTCCAGCTGCTGTTTGGCTGCTTCCCACTGCTACTATCTTGGAGATCATGCAGCATATGAGGATATGTTACATGCTGCAGCTGCTCAAGGCTCTCAGAGTGACCCGGGGTAGACTGTTACCTTCACAGAGACTCTGGGCAGAGACAGATAGAGATAATTTGGTGACTGGATTCTTAGCTATGCAGGTATAGTTCTGTCCACTAGAATTCTTGGGGTCCCAGGAGGTAGTAAAGTTTGTTCCATTGAGGCAGATGTTTCTTGAGTCCTGCCACCAGAATGAGGATGTATCGTCTGCATTTTCCACAGCACAGATCAGGTAGATATCACAGGTCTCATTCTCAGACAGTTGAACATGGTTGATAACTTTTAAGTTTCTCAATTGTCCTATGGACAGAGAAAAGACCTAGGTTAAGGACAAATTGCTCGACTCAGTTCCCTGTGAAAGAATCTTTACCTTTCTTCTTCTTCTTCTTCTTTTTTTTTAAAATCCCATCTCTGATGTGTGCTATAGTCTGTTTACTCTGTAAAAGATTCTGTTGGGATTACCTAATTGATAATAGCAAGGTCTAGGATGATCAAATGAAAGAGACATCAATATAAGACCAAATAACCAATAAGAAGAATGGGAAAGGAGACTAAGGTTGCCATCAACTAGCTGGGTAATTTGGGGCTGTTCATATGACCTGGCTCCAGGTAATCACTTGTGCTGCTTCTAGGCCTTGGATTATACCTTTTGTAAACAATTTGGAGACTAAATTCAGGGTCCTGAGGCAAGAGTAAGCAGGCATTCGAGAGAGCACAGAATGCAATATGTTCAGTCATTTGAGGGGGTATGAGATGCAGAAATTTCTGAGATCAAGGACTAGAAAGACAGAAAGTCAAGAAAAATCTCCTGACCTGGTCTTGGCTGCAGTCTTGAAGAAAAGAGGATTCAACAAAGAATGGATTAGAAGATTAGAAGAAGCTGAACAATTTTCATTAGCTGAGTAGGAGTTGTGAAGATTATATATGTATATATATGATCTTAGAATTGAACTTTGTGTATAGGAGGAGTACTGGCTTTGGAATCAGGAAAAAGTGGGGTAGGATCATGGCTTTATCATTTATTGACTATATAACCATAGATACATCATATTAATTATTAATACTTGTCATCTGGAAAAATCAGGCAACAATACCTACTTTTCAAGTAATTATGAGGATGCACAGGGCTGGCAATTATTTGCCATGAATGTCACATCTCATCCTGTGTCCATATCTAACCTGACAAATCTATTTTATTACTTTTTTTTTTTTTGCCAATCCCAGGGTTTGAAGTAAGGGCCTGGGAACTGTCCCTGAGCCTCTTTGTTTTCAAGGCTAGCACTCTACCACTTAAGCCACAGCACCACTTCTGGCTTTTTTAAAAAAATTGGAGATAAGAGTTTCAAGGACTTTTTTGCCCAGGCTGGCTTCAAACCATGATCCTCAGATCTCAGTTTCCTGACTAGCTAGGATTACAGGCTTGAGTCACCAGCACCCAGCTTATTTTATTACTTTTAAACCAAGGTTCTAGATTCCATTCTCAGCATTGCTAGAAAAAAATGATCCTTGCTCTCTGCTCCATGGTACTCCTGTTATTCACTATAGTGTTGTTATTAACATTCTAGCTCCCTTAGACACCATATTATTTGTTTATAAACAATGTGTATTATTACCTGCTTCTACTCTCCAACCAGAATGTCAGCTCCATGACATATTCTAGAAGAGCACCTTGGCCAACAAATATTGTCTATGCAACAAGTAAACATAATTTTAATATCTTTAAATTCGTCAAATGTTTTCCTTAACCTGTAATCTAGTCAATTATTCTTAATTAATTGATAATTTGTTTATAAGATCACACTTTCTCCATCTGTATCTTGGCGCATAGAGAATAATTGGCTAATGTTTGAAACAAATCACATCTATCCTTTGAAATTTCTTTGCAGTGCTATGAAACAGTTGGTAGATGTTATACATTATTTCTTTGTGTGTTTACCTTTTAATAAAAAATACTCCAAAATTCCTGAGCATGAATTGGCATTGAGCTCTAGGAACATTGTTGTTCTTGAAGCCATTTGTTTGTTTGTTTTTTCCAATAGTGTCTGAAAAATATTGTCTGAGCAATGTGATAGAGCCTGGTATGGCATCTGTTCTCAGGCTTTCCATTGTCTATGTCTCCCTTCTTCCTATGGGTCTAGCATTGTCTTGATGATCACTGATCAGACAGGGTGATCCTGCTGGTAGTGGTTTGAATAATGATCTCCCAAAGAAACAACAGTGTCCTACTTTTTTTTTTTTTTTTTTGGGTCCAGTCGTGGGGCCTGAACTCTGGGTCTGGGCACTGCCCCTCAGCTCTTCAGCTCAAGGCTAGTGCTCTACCACTTGAGCCACAGTGCCACTTCCAGCTTTTTTTTTCTTTTTGCTTATGTGGTGCTGAGGAATCGAACCCAGGGCTTCAGGCATGCAAGGCAAACGCTCTACCACTGAGCCAACTTCCCAGCCCACAGTGTCCTACTTCTAAGAATCTGTCAAAATACCTTCTAGATGAATGGTCTTTGCAAATGAAATTAAATTACATGAGGAGAGCGTCTTGGATTATCTGTGTGGGCCCTAAATTTAATGAGTAATGTCCTTATAAGAGAAAAGAGAGGAGAAAACATAGAAAAGAGGAGAAGAATTGTGATCAAGAGGAAGGGATTGGAACAATACAGCCATAAATCAAGGAACACTAAGGAATTCTGATAACAAGCAGAAGCTGGGAGAGCTAAAGATAGGCTGGTCTTTCTAGGGCCTCCCAGAAGGAAGCTGGAAGAAACAAGAATAGATGGTCTTCTGGGGCCTCCCAAAATATCATAGCCCTGTATATACCTTGATTTTGGACTTCCAGTCTCCAGGGCTTTGTAAGAATACTTTTCTGTTGCTTAGGCCATGAGCTGTGGCATTTTGTTTTGTTTTGAAAGCCTCAGGAAATGAATCTGCTGCCGTGGGGCTGTTTTACTCCTTTATTTTGAATTTCCTGCTCAGAACTTTTCCAAATATCCGTTTTACCCTGAGACACTTGTCTAATCTGTGTCACATTCTTTCAAGGATGTGATTTTGATTAAAGTGGCACACTCATCAAATATCAGAAGATACTAAAGATTAGCAAGTAATTTATTTGTACCTTAAAAATATCTTAAACCAAAGGCCTTCAAAAGGATTCTAGGTCTTACAGTCTGACATTTCAAAATCTCAGTGGTCTTTTAAAATTGACTAGCAGGAAAGTCTGTGAGACTCTTATCTCCACTAAGGATCTATCAAAAAGCTTGAAGTAGAGCTGTAGCTCAAGAGGTAGGACACTAGCTGTGAGCACAGAAGCTAAGGGATGGCACCCAGGCCCCGAATTCAAGCCAGAGGACCAGCACAAAAACAAAAAACAAAAACAAAAAAGTTAAAGTTGTCTAGTCTGGTGACCAACTTAATGCTTGAATCTCCTATGAAACATTCCTGCTAAGCAATTATCATAAAGCCTCTTAGGACATCTCTGCTTTTTTATGATATAAATTCATAAATTTTCTTAGTTTCCATAATTGTATACTGAGGAAATTTTCATCTGTTTATCTTGGGAAGACAGTCCTTTTTTTTTTTTTTTGCCAGTCGTGGGGCCTCAATTCTGGGCCTGGGTGCTGTCCCTCAGCACTTCAGCTCAAGGCTAGCACCTTACCACTTGAGCCACAGCGCCACTTCTGCATTTTTCTGCTTATGTGGTGCTGAGGAATCGAACCCAGGGCCTCATGCATGCAAGGCAAGCACTCTACCACTGGGCTACCTTCCTAGCCCAGACAGTCCTTTTTTGTTTTTGTTTTTAGACAGACTCACTACATAGGCCATGCTGCCTCTGAAGTACCACTTTTCTGTCTCAATCCCCCAAGTGCTAGGATTACAAGTGTGGGCTAGCTAGGGTAGGCAGACTTTTGAATGATGACTAACATGAGCCATTGAAGGAAACTATTGTTAGATATCGACCTTGACAGCAGAATTTTTTCTCTGTTGCCTCACTAGCATAGAACACTTCGCTATACGCACTGTGCTATACATAAATTATTATTATTATTTTTTTTGGGTCCAGTCGTGGGGCCTGAACTCTGGGCCTGGATGCTGTCCCTCAGCTCTTCAGCTCAAGGCTAGAGCTCTACCACTTGAGCCACAGCGCCACTTCCAGCTTTTTTTCTTTTTGCTTATGTGGTGCTGAGGAATTGAACCCAGGGCCTCATGCATGCAAGGCAAACGCTCTACCACTGAGCCACCTTCCCAGCCCCAACTGTACATAAATTATATGGGAAGGACAATCACTTGACATTTGTGACTGTGACGAGGCTGGGTCTAGACATAAGATTATATCTATCTCATGGAGCCTTGTGAGGATTATATGATAGACACATGATACACATGTTAACAGTGTCATTAATATTCCACTTCCATTAATTCTATTAGATTGCTGGTTGCAAGGGACTATTTTACTGGGTGAGGTAGAGTGATTCAGGATTCTGATTCTAGTGAGGTGATATACTGGATTCTTGGTAGAGAACCACAAGACAGGTTCTATTCTCAACTCTGCCACCATTTGACTGTGTCATGTCATTGAGTTGTTTTACTGTGGAACCTCATGGTGACTCTCAATGCCATCCACATTATACTAGATGCCAGTGCACACTTGTAATCATATATGTTTAAAATATGCAATTTGATTTTTGCCCCTACATAATTAAATCTCACATTTAGACTCACTGAAAATCCTCAAAGTATAACCAGAAGGCACTATAGTGGTCGTTTTCGTGGTGAACTGGATGCTGTAATGTCCTGTGTCTGCCATCATCAGGTTGCTGAGATTCAAGGAATACATCTGGGTGAAGTTTAGCCGCTCTCCCCACCTTGGATTTAGCACCATTTTAACCTCACGTTTTAGATCTATGGTGACAATAGCTGTTCCATTGTAATGCCAGGTGATGATCGACACATCCACTTCTGTAGGAAGCTTCACGGGGAGGATTACTGACCCCCCTAGAACCCCATTTACCACCAGAGAGGTCGAATTGCTTTGCGACACTGCATTTCCTGGAAACACAGAAGGAAAAGGCTGTAAAACTGCCCCTGACAATCACTCTAGCCCCAGTTCTTCCACCATTTCCCTGAACTCTGTCAGTTTGTCAAAGCTCTCTGAAACAAACCTAGAAGATGTGATGAAGAGTTGCAATGGACAACCACATACCCAATGGCTCCATCTCCAACAAAATGTCTAGCATTCATGGCTAAATTGAGTAGTTGGTCCATATGACCCTGTCTCAGAGCTCAATTCTCTGCTGGTGTGGTTACTCGGGGATCATGACTATACTTTGTGATCTGCTAGCCTTTGATTTCTTTGGACATCAGGTGGTAAGGGACAAGGAACTATATCAACTTTTGACATAGATTCTCCAAATTGCAAGTCAGAAGATTTGTGGTAAATTAAGGCATTTACTGATTACCTACTATGTGTCACAAAAGTAGGACTGTGTGCTTTAGAGGACCAATAACAGAGATTTACTGCCTACACAATTATTCTCATGCATTATTTTATTTGCCACTGACAACAGTTCTTTGAGATAGACATGATGGGTATTATTATCTCCATTTATAGATCCTAAAGGAGCAGAGACACAGATGTGAACTAACTTTCCCCAGGCTGTACAGCTAAAGAATAGCAGAGTCACAAGTTGAACCCAGGAATTTTGACTAGAAATACTTTTTGCTGTTTTCATGATGCATTAATGCTCAAAGTAATACATAATGGCTGCATTCTCATGAGTCTATTTAGAGCCTTCAGTGTCTGAGCAAAAAAGGTAAAATGATCCCAGTAGATGCTTCTGTGATCTTACAGAAGTATGCTGACAGAGATGATTCTTTAGTATCTTTTGTCAAGTTCTTAGCACTTGTACTATTTTCTTGCTCTCTGTTTACTTGGCCATCTGTCTGACTATGCCTTGGTTATCCTTGCATGTCAGCACTCTGTATTGTGTCTAACACATGAATAAATAGCTATAACCATGATATCAACTTTATCGGAACTTTTTATTTCCAAGGAAAGGAAATGTGTGTGTTTGTGTGTGTGTGTGTGTGTGTGTGTGTGTGTGTGTGTGTGTGTGTAGGGTCATGTCTTCTGGTGTCTAGATAATCCACTTGGCATTTAGGGATCTTATACTTCCTCTTTCTTTCCCTAACTGTCATATGGATTCCAGGCATATGAAACTGCCACCCTCAATTCCTTGCTGTACTGTGTCTGTCCCATCAGCATTTTGACATACTTTTATTTTGTGATCTTGGCCCCTTTTCCCTTTCAGAATTAAATGGGTAAATATTATAAGCAAAATCTTGAGCCCAAAACTCCAGACACAAAAGGAAACACAATGTTATAATTTCACTTACCTAAAGTTGAAAACAAATACGACAGGCCATATAAATCTTTGCTGATAGAAGTCAGAAAGATGGTTATCTTAGGGAAGGAGGGAGAGGTATGAGCAGAAAGAGCCTTAAGTGGGAATCTGGGGGTGCTGATGTCTATGTTCCATATCTTTACCCCTATTTGGCTGCATATACATTACCTGATAATCCATGGAGCTCATACTTAACTATTTTGTGCTTTTCTTTTTGTACTTAGAATAAAAATTAAAACAATAAAGGCAAAACAAAAAAATCTTTATATGGTATATAAAGACCAAAATGATCTGACTTTTGTATTTTTTCACTCATCTCATTCCTAAATGTGTCCCTTTGTTTACTTTGCTCCAGACCACCTGAGTTTTCCTTGAACAGACCAGGACTTGTGCACTTGCCATTCCCATTCCCTCCAGGTCTTCCTGTAGCTCACACTTTTGTCTTTAAAGCAAATGATAGCCAGGCACTGTTGGCTTATACTTGTAATTCTAGCTACTCAGGAGGCTGAGATCTGAGGATCAAAGTTTGAAGCTAGTCCAGGTAGGAAAGTCTGTAAGGCTTTTTATCTCCAATTAACTACCAGAAAACTGGAAGTAGAGCTGTGGCTCCAAGTAGTAGAGCATTAGCCTTGAGCAAAAAAGCTCAAGGACAATGTCTAGGACTTGAGTTCAAGCCTCAAGAGCAACAGAAAAAAAGTAAATAATACATTTCTAGTAGAAGAAGACTTTTTCACTCTTTTGTCTACCAACCTGCACCCAGCCCTGTATATCCAGCTGCCTTTGGACTTATTTTTTTCTGTACTGTTCATCTTCTGACATACTTTGTAATTTTATAACTTTGTTTTCTTGGTTCTTTTTCAATTCTTCTTACACAGTGGTTCAAGGATTTGCCAGATACCGATCCTTTCTTGCTTAGCACTTTTCTTATTTCTCTTGCTTTGATAAAATTGCAATTATTAGGGTTATTTGTAGTTTGTTTTGTTTTCAGATAGGGTCTTGCTATGTAGCCTAGTGGCTTGGACTTACTATGTAGCCCTAGGTTGGCCTCAAACTCATGATCCTATCTTCACTTCTCAAGGGCTGGGATTATCATTATGTAATACTACTCCTGATTTGTTAGTTTACTTAATAAGTCATTTATTTTACTATTTGCCCAATTCCATGTTGATCAATGAACAAAAAATTAGAAACCATGGCATTCAGACTATATTTTTTGGTTATCTTTAAGTATCAGTTCTTGGACTGGATACCGGGCATCAGACAAAATTAAGATATTACTATTTATAATCCCATGATTCTCTGGGTTTGCCACCTGGTAGGGGAACTTGACAAATAAATGACTAGTTATTATGGTGTGATGGGTTAGGCACTTATCTAGGAGAGGGGCTTGTCTCTGTATTGTCCTTATATTACTACTGCACTGTCCTTGTACGACTACTGCACCATCAGTGCTGGACTTTTTTTCTCTTTGTTATACTTCCTTCCTCTTTCTAAACTTGAGAGTAGGCATTATGCCTATTTTTCTGTATTGCTATAATGTAACACAATTTCTAGTACACTAAATATTGATATGATGGAGGTATTGTACTCTGTGGGAAAATATGTAGGGTGAATGTTAGACAGAGATAGTTGGGTGTGGTCAGGAAGTACTTCACAAGAGATAACGTTAGGGGCTGGGAAGGTGGCTCAGTGGTAGAGCATGTGCCTTGCATGCCTGAGGCCCTGGGTTCGATTCCTCAGCAGCACATAAGCAAAAAGAAAAAAGCCAGAAGTGGCGCTGTGGCTCAAGTGGTAGAGCGCAAGCCTCGAGCTGAAGAGCTGAGGGACAGCGCCCAGGCCCAGAGTTCAGGCCCCACAACTGGACCCAAAAAACAAAACAAAAAAAAAGAGATAACGTTACAAGAGAATTCTGAATAATAGGTAGGAAATCTACATTACTTTATTATTAGTAATCTTTCAAGAATGTCCTCATTCTTTACTGCTTTAACTATGGCTCCCTCTACCTACAATGCTCTTCCTTACCTTTTCTATGTGACAAGCTCCTATTTGCTTTTGTAAGGATGAGCTTGTTTCTGCTTATATTGGTGGAGAGAGCAGTTTGGAAAAAAGAAAAAAGAGTCAATCCTTAAATTCAAAAGGTCCTATTGACATAGAGTAGACATTTATGCATTTATATGGAATTGAATTGAAAGTCCAGAAATAAGAATGCCAATACCATTCAATAAAGAAAAAAATTTCTCTTCAGTAAATGATGCTGGACAATTATATATCCATGTGTGAAGGAATGAAGTTGGACCCTTACCTTTTACCATATACAAAAATTAACTCAAACTGCATTAGTCAACTAAACGTAAGAGAGAAAACCATAAAACTCTTAGAAGCAAACATAGGGGAAAATACACATGCTCTTCTACTTGACAATAAATTCTTAGATGTAATAGCACAAGCACAAACATAAGAACAAATATGTTCTACTTGATCAAAATAAAAACTCTTTTTTTAAATATCAGAGGACATTGGATCACAATCTCATCAGCGAAGCCTTAACATTTTGTTAGGCCAGACACAAAAGATCATATATTGTATGATTTCATTTATATGAAATACTTGGAATAGGCAACTCCATGGAGATAGAATGCAAATTGTTGTTTGCTAGGAGCTGGGGAGAGGAGAGGGAGAAATGTCATGGGACTGTACACTTTAAAAAGTATTTTGTCTCATTGGAATTTCACTTTAATAATAGTGTGGATAGAGATACAACTGATCTGGAATGAGGAACAAAAACTGAAAGAGAAAGCTAGCAAGAGCACAGTGGAGATGGACCACAGATTCTGAGAGGTGGAAAGACATAGGTATATTCATACATAAAATGGCCCTCTTCTTGTAATGAGCAAAAATAACCATCTGAAGGTGTGAATGGTTGGTAAAAAGTAGACTTCACTGCTCAGGGGTTGGGGGCTATCAGTTTCTAATCATTTAGCTGCAGAGGCTTGTACACTTTTAACTCTGGATCTCAGAACGGGGCTGAAGATATAGCTCAGCGGGAAAGTACATACTTGGTCTATAGCACCACAAAAATAAGGAAGTAAAAAATAAAAATAAAATAAAATCTCAGAACTAGACCACTTTACCTTTCTAACCAGTATTCTCACCTGAGTCTCAGAACACCCATGTATACTTCTTGAAAGATAGAAATAGTTTTTAATTTTTCCCTACCACCCAATCTCCATATGACTAGAATTTAGAACCTTGCTACTCAGAGTGGTCCATGGACCTAGTAACTTTGGTGTCATGTTAACCCTCAACCTAGAATCAACATTCTAGTAAAATTATCAATTCAGTTATATACTCATTAAAATCTGACATGTTCCCATCTACAAAGAACAAAATGGATACAGAGATGAGATTCATTTTCTCCAGGACATCATGATGGTTGATTTTGTTTCTAACAACTGTTTGGTCCTATTAGTTCCTCCCCTCCATTTGTGTTAGGATTTGAATTCTCTTTCTTAAATTTTTTAATTAAAAAGTTTTTTTTTTGAGTGGGGACAGAAAAGTCCTGGCTGAGGCTCTTATCTCCAATAAATGATTCCGAAAAAGCTGGAAGTGGCACTGTGGCTCAAATGGTAGAGCACTAGCCTTGAGCAAAAGATGCTCAGGAACATCGCCCAGGCCTACATGCAAGCACCAGGACAGGCACAAAACTTTTTTTTTTTTTTTTGAGACAGGATCCCACTGTATAGCTCAGGCTAGCCTCAAAGTAGAGATTCTCATGCTTCTGCCTTCCACATCCTGGAGCTACCGGATTGTACTACCAAACTTGGCTTTGTTCTGTTCATTTTGCCAAGGCTTGAGCTAAAGGAAGTGAGATTATTTCACAGCATAGTTTGTATTTGTCTTTTAGCTACATTTCCTATTTGAGAACATGAAATGACTAATTTCCCTTCAAGCTTCTTCTGGAGAAAAATTTAATTTGTCCCACACTCTTGCCACTGTGATCTTTCCTGTCTTCAGTCTCTCCAAACTCTTCTGGACCTTTACATGTACAATTCCCCCTGCCTAATCTGACTCCTCTCTTGTTTAACCCCTTAAATCTCAGAGATCTTGCTTTTCCAGAAAGTCTATTCCTTACCAAACCTATCCGGAGATGGTCCCCTGGGTTTCCTCTAGCATGACAGCTAGCTTCATTTTTTCTTAGTACCATACTGTGTAGTAGTAGTAGTAGTAGTGGTGGTGGTAGTAGTTTTGTGTGTGTGTGTGTGTGTGTGTGTGTGTGTGTGTGTGTGTATGTGAATATATAAAACTATGTGTCAGCTAAGCATTATCATGAAGGGGGCCTGAACACAGATCACAGAGGTAGGACCCCCCCCCATTTCAGCCCTGAAAATACCTGCTCTCCAGCTGGGCTATGGAACTCCTATCTTCTCAGACATAGTCAAGTGTGTTTCTCTTTCTACCTTCCCCATCCCCAACTATGTAACTAGCACTAAACTGGTTGCTTAGGCATTTTGTTACTTTTTTTCCCCCTCATTTGTGAAGTTGGGACTGGAACAGTGCATAATCTATAGAATATTAAGAAAAATCCCACAGCAATGGGGAGAAAGAGAGAAATTTCAACATGAAGACATTCAGGATAATTGTAGAGGAGGTTTTGCTTTACAAGGAGGTTAAAAACTCAAGCCACCCGTTTCAGGCAAGTTTTGAAATGGCTCTGGAATGAATGGAAGAATTCCCTTCTCTTTTTGCATTTTATTTATACCATATTCCCCGAGATTCTGTCCTCATGCTATTTCCTCCTTAGCTTCATTGATTGTCTCTATACCAATGACTCTCAAGTCTCCTTAGCCCTGCTTTCAGGCCATCTTGTGAGGTACTAGAGGAGCCTCCATACCATAATAACCATCCTCCATAAGACTCCCAGCTCTGGGATCCTGCTCTATGGAGATTTTATACTCTTGTTTTGCTTTCAAATAAACTTGCTCTGTCTGCTTATAAAAAAGAAAGAAACCTCCTTATGAATGTCAGCCTGATATCTTAAAACTAACAGGTCTTAAATCGAACCTGCTTTCCTCCCATGTCTGCTCCTCCACAACACTGCCCTGACTGCCTTCTCTGAGATGTGATTGCCCTCCTCACTACATTTCACATTCATTTTCCCTGATTATATTCATTTTATTTTCTGTCACTACCTAATGTACAATTTTACTTGCTTATAGATATGATTCCTGCTAAAATCTTAACTTCCCAAGAACATAACCTGGGTTAGTATTGCTTACAATATATGCTCTCAAAATATTACAATGCCAGCCACACTTTTAGTAGGCATTAGATGATTATTTATGGAGTAACTTAATGAAATCCTCCTTTCCTCAAACTCCTCTAAATTAACCAGCTAGTTAATTCAACAGCTATGACTATCTCTGTTTTCTCTTGTGCAGCTGACAGGTTTGTTCAACTGGCCTTGTTTCTCAGACTCTTCAAGAGTTTGTCACATGCTGGCTAGTGTAATTTGGGCAAGTTATTTAAATAATCTTAGCCTCAGTTTTTCCTGTTAAAGTGGACATATTAATAGTTTAAATTCAAAGAATTGTCGAGACTTCTAAACATAATGTATGCTTAGCACTGGGCTCAGAATCTGAAATAGATAAACATTCAATAAATGCAATTAAAAAATTAACTTTCTCTATGCTAGCTCTGAGCTATTTCTGTTGTTCAGGACTACTCTCCCTAAGACTATACTTCAGCCCAAATGGACAAGTTTTGGGGTCCCAAAAGACATAAACCTTCATTTTTCTCTATGTAGCAGGCAGTCAGGAATAAGAAACAAGCTACATCAGTCAGTTACTTTTTGATTGCTGTATAAAGCATAGCTGGACTAAGCATTTGGTTTATATCAAATCCAGTTGGAGATGGAGACTTCTTTTTCTTTTTTACACATGGCAAAAGACAACCGAACTATTTATTTCTGGTGCTTTGGTTTGGCCCCAGAAAGTTGGGCTAAACTGAACCAAAGGCTTTCTGTTTTTCCCCCCATAGACTTTCTTTTTTTAAATATACATTTTTTTTATTGTAGAGATAGTGTACAGAGGAGTAACAGTTACATGAGCAAGGTAATGAGTCCATTTCCTATTGAGCATTGTTACACTCTTCTTTATTTTCCCCCCACCATCCCTTTCCTCCCTGCCTCCCCAACTCTGCTCTCCCCTCTCCCAACTCCCTCTTACCATCCCCCCCCCCAAAATTGTAGTTTTCAGCATAGTGTGTTATAAGTCTCATTGTTAGTGGGTCATCCTGTATCCATATTTCAGCATTTTGTTATTTCCCTTCCCCTCCCCAAATTAGAAAAATGTATACAAGATGCAGGGCACGCCGGGAGCCAGTGGCTCACACCTGTAATCCTTGCCACTCAGGAGGCTGAGATCTGAGGATCGAGGTTCAAAGCCAGCCCGGGCAGGAAAGTCCGTGAAACTCTTATCTCCAATAAACACTCAGAAAACCGGAAGTGGCGCTGTGGCTCAAGTGGTAGAGCACTAGCCTTGAGATGAAGAGTTGAGGGACAGCGGCCAGGCCCAGAGTTCAGGCCCCGCGACCGACCAAAAAAAAAAAAAGATGCAGGGCACCAGAAAGAATCAAATACATTGACTGAACAGGGGTTATACCATGGGGGGAGAAACAAAGAAACAACAACAAAAAAATCACACAGTACATTGTAAGTACATTAAAAAGAACAGCAACAAAGGCAAAACCTCTTATGTCCCTATCTTGGGGCTCATTTCGCTTAGCATCAGTTTAAATGGTCATAGGTACATAGCTTTTGATCTCTCCTGCTTGTCCTAGACATATACTAGTTATTGCAGATAAGGGAAACCATGAGAGCTATTTTTTTAGATTATCATAGGGAAGTCCAGAAAGGATAAGCAACCTATTGAAGAAGTCACATAGTAGTACAATAGCTAAATTGTATACCATTTTACTTAACCTGAGTTCTCTTTACACAACAACCTGCTGGTTATAAACCCCAAACCATCATGGCTTACAGAATCTCATTTCTTAGATCCCAGAAAACATGTACTTCACAGGCGAATCCAGTTTAAGTAGCCATCCCCAAACCACCTCAGTCTGCAGCACTCAAAGTGGAAGAAGAAAGGTGGCAGATTATCAGGAACCATTGCCACCCCTACTAGATCCCTGAGCAGAGAGCCAGCCAGTCAGCTGTAACAGGTAATTTAGACTGAGCTGGCTGCACCAAAGCAGGAGTCCCGCAGCAGCTATGTGGGTTTGGATAGGCATTTACCTGAACCAAGGCAGAAGACAAATGGGAGAGATGGAAGCAGCCAGAACATCTTCTGAGAAGTAGAGACAGGTACTGGTGATCTTGAGGCAATCAAAACTTCCTGCTATTCTGTCATAACTTGAAAGTGCTTCTTACTGAGACTTCCTCCTCCCTCACACTAAAACTCCTTCTGCTACCAATTTTGAATTTCATTACTAAATTGCTCATGAAAATAATTTTAACTTAAAAAATTTATTAAGCCTAACAATGCTCTGTGTTGTTGGGTGGAGTATTTGCACATGTCTGTTAGGTCTGATTATTTGTTTGTAGTGTTGTTCAATTCCTCTATTTCTTGAGTTTCTTTAATTCTTTGTCTTCCTTTCAGCATATTTAAGCCTTTGTCTGATGAGTTAGATGTCTGGGCTTTTGGGGGGACAACTTCTGTTCATTTACTTTGTTCCTTTGAATATGCTATATTTTTCAAATTTTGTATACTCTGTAATTTTTAAATCTGTAGATCGGAAGAGCTACAATTTTAAAAAAATAGCTATCATTTCCAGGGTTAATAAACTAGTTCTGTGATGGGGTTGTCCCTTGCCTATTATCTGGTCTTTCTCTGGTTATTTGTGTCACACTGCTAGAGTTTGGATGTAGCTTGGATGTGTCCCTCAGAGGTTCATATGTTGAAAGCCTTGTCTTCAGTGTGGTGATGTGGAGAGGATGTGGAACCTGGAGGTCAGGAAGCCTAGTGAAAGGTAATGAGGCCATTGGATGGGATAACTGTATCCCGAAGAACTCCAGTTCATTCCCACAAAAGTGTGTTGGCCCCTCCCGAATCCCCCTAGTTCCCTGTTTCACCATGAAATTACCTTCTACTCACCATTTCCACACTGTGACACCATCATTAATAAGGCCCTCATCTAAGACCAAGACGAGACTGTCCAATCTTGGATTTTTAGCCTTCAGTGCTGAGAGATCAATAAAACTTTTTTGAAATGGGGATGTAGCTTAGTAACAGAGCACTTGCCTAGCATGTGTGAAGCCCTGTATCTGATCTCCAACATTGAAAAGCAAACAAGCAACTAAGTGAGCAAGCGAGCAAACAAATAAAAACTTAATAAAGTATCCAAGTATATTGTTATAGCATCAGAAAATGGATGAATGCACAGCCTGAAGTGAAACTTGAGGTCTTCTCATCTCTTTTCGGAGTGTGCCCCTTGTGTGGGCTCATGTGTAGCTTTTTAAGTTCCCCCATACAGACAAGCTGCTTTTAAATATCTAAATTTAAACACATTTCTCTTAAGGGAATAGATGGTCTGTGGTACGTTGCTATTCATAACCCCTTGTGCAGACCTTTATGGCTCCATAGTCTTTCTGTAGCACTCACAGCAATGTGTGCCCGTTTCCCACCTTAGATATGTATTGGGCCAAATGGAGGTCAGCTCTTCATGCAGCTCTGTGGCAGATTAAAACTGCAAATGCCTAAAGGAAAACCTTAAAAAAATTAATCTTTTTTTTTTTGCGGGGGAGGGGTTGCCAGTTCTGGGGCAGGACCTGGGCACTGTCCTTGAGCTTCTTTTGCTCAAAGCTAGTGCTCTACCACTTGCTCCACATCTCTACTTCTGGCTTCTTTAGTGATTAATTGGTGTAAGAGTCTCATGGACTTTATTGCTGCAGATGGCTTCAGGCTGTGATCCTTAGATCTTAGCCTCCTGAGTAGCTAGGATTACAGGTGTGAGCCACCAGCACCTGGTTGAGAAACTGCGTCATATAGAACTTAGCTCAGAAGAGAATGATTCATAAATTAGGCAATGCCCAGAACCAGCAAAGTTTCAGTGAAGCTGGGCACTGGTGGTTCCTAGCTATTCAGGAGGCTGAGATCTGAGGATCGTGGTTCGAAGCCAGCCCAGGCAGAAATGTCCCCTTGTGACTATCTCCAATTAATGTTGCAAAAACAGGAAGTGGAGCTGTGGCTCAACGTGGTAAAGTGTTAGCTTTGAGCAAAAGTTCTCAGGGACAGCAGGTAGGCCCTGGGTTCAAGCCCCGCTACCTCCCCCTCCAAACAAAAGTTCAATAAGCTGGGGGTCACAATGTCGCTGTAGGCAGGGTTTCAATGTAGGCAGAAGAAATAATGTGCAGAGACAGCTAGATTAATCACAGCTTGTCATTTGACTTCTCTGAACATCAACTAGCAGCCTGTGATTGGCTGAAGCTCTGTTTTCTGGCTGTGACTCAGGTATTTGTTACAAAAATATACTTCTAGATTAAGCTATCAGTTTGTGTATATACTGCTATACTGCAGTTCCTTACATAGTTATGGAGACAGCCTTAGGCCAAATTTAAGTTAATTTAACACAAATGAAGTCTTTTTTATTTCTTCTGGTTCAAGAGAGGGGGAGCTGGAAACTGAGCCCTCTCTTCTCTAAGCCACGTTCACTGAGCACTGGAAAGAATATGTGACAGGGGTGACTAAAAACGCCATAATATTTTTCGTATAGTTTTGAAGGTGATTTTTCCTTGATTGGGCATTTGATTAGTTGTTATAAATCTCTTATTATTTTAAAGAGCCTACATATTTAGTCAGCCTCTGTGTGTGTGTGTGTGTGTGTGTGTGTGTGTGTGTGTGTGCCTTGTTTAGTGCTCTGGGGGTGAATGAGAATTTGGAATTTTGTTGTCTACAATTTTGCTGACAGCTCCCTCTCTTTCTGTATTTGCGCATTGCCTTTTTAAAAAATGTTTATTAGCATGGCATCAGTAGTGCATGCCTGTAATCCTAGACACTCAGGAGGCTGAGATCTGAGGGTCATGGTTCAAAGCCAGCCAGCTGGGGCAGGAAACTCGGTGAAACTCTTATCTCCAATTAACCACCAAATAAAAAGAGACAGCAGTGGAACTGTGTCTCAAAGTGGTAGATGCTAGTCTTGAAAAGCACAGGGACAGTGCCCAGAATTTGAGTTCAAGCCCCAGGATTGCCACCGAAAATCCCCCAAAGCAAAAACAAATGCATTTAAATATTACTTAAATAATTATAAATTAATAGTATTACCCCAGATCTTGATGGATTTCCCCATTAATATACATTTATGCCCATTGCAGAAATGACTGATCTGGGACAATCTCTTACATGTTTTTCTTGACTCATTTTGCTCAAAAGAATTTCCAATGACTGCATACATGCAGTTTTCTGAGTATTTCTAATGTTTCTATCAAATGCTTATCTATCTATCTATCTATCTATCTATCTATCTATCTATCTATCTATCTATCTATCTATCTATCTATCATCTATCTATAATGTAAAATTGTCAACGTTTAACAGAATCCAGGCATTTGTCTGTTTGCTGTCAGGTCTATTCCTACTTTTTGTGGCTGTCTTCATTTTTCAGAGGGTTGGAAGCCTGAAAATTACATTTCTCTTTCTCTTTGTAAGATGGTTTTCAATTATATTTTATCCACAGAGGTCCTGGCAAAAGCAGGGAAGAGGGAAGATATACATACATATATAGATATGTGTGTGTGTGTATCCCCAAGTTTCAGTTGCTGGTGATGTCTCTAGTAGTGGCAATAGGAGCAGAAAACCAGCATAGCTCCAAGGTTCCCAGGTTAGCAATGCTGTTCAAGTAAACATTTCAGAAGTCTCACAGGATGGCTCAAGCTTTTTTTCTTTTTTCTTTCTTGGAGGTTTGGGCTCTGGCTTTGATATTAGCAGCTGCAGTATAGTAGCTTGTAGAATTTTTTTTTTTTGTCATGGGCTTGAACTCTGGGCCTGCGTGCTGTCCTTCAGTTCTTCAGCTCAAGGCTAGCGCTCTACCACTTGAGCCATTGTGCCACTTCACTTTTCTGGTGGTTTATTGGAGATAAGAGTCTCATGGACTTTCCTGCCCAGGCTGGCTTTGACCTGTGATCCTCAGATCTCAGCCTCTTGAGTAGCTAGGATTACAGTTGTGAGCCACCGGCTAGTAGCTTGTAGTTTTGATGAGAGTATGGGCTTTTAAGAGCGAGTGGCAGTCCTAGTTCAAAAGGCAAAATTTCCATGGAATTATTAGCAGCTTTCTATATTTATTTATTTGTTTATTTATTGAGTGTGTGTGTGTGTGTATGCACATGTGTGTGTTTGCATGCCCCGCCAGTACTGGGGCTTGAACTGAGATAGTGGGTACTGTTCCTTAGTTGTTTTTTTTTTTTTTTTGGTCGGTCATGGGGCTTGAACTCTGGACTTGGGCATCCCTGCACTCTTCAGCTCAAGGCCAGTGCTCTACCACTTGAGCCACAGCGCCACTTCCTGTTCCTTAGTTTTTACACTCAAGGCTGGTACTCTACTCCTACAGCCACGGCCCCACTTTTGACTTTTTTCCTGGTTAATTGGAGACAAGAGTCTCATGGATTTGTCTGCTTGAGCTGGCTTCAAGCCAAGATCCTTACAGCAGCCCCCTGAATAGGTAGGATTACAGGGGTGAGCCACCGGCATCCAGTTAGCTTCCTGGAATTATTTATTGCTTGATAAGCTTGGCTGTTTTCCTTTCCCCTCAAACTCTTCTATCCATTTCATAATCAATTTCCTATAGTCAGCTTGCTGAATTTGCAATATTTACCACCAGTTTTTTTTCCTGACTGGACATTGATTGAAACACCTTGTTTATAGTTTATTAAGAAATTAATTTTCTTAAATCAATAATGAGTCGTGACATTTACCAATTTATCTTGTGGAATCTGTTAGGATGCTTATATTTTTGGTTCTCCTTTGAGCTGTTTAAGTAGCAAGTAACAGTAGAAGATTCTCACAGAACTCTTCCTTGCATCCTAAGGATAAATCCTACATTTTTTCTTTTAATTCATCATTTGATCCAGTTTGCTAAAATGTAAATTAAGTTTGCTAACATTTATAAATGAGATTTGTCTGTATTAGGATGTGGCAAACTTTTTGCTGTGAAGGTTCAGGTAATGAATATTGTAGATTTTATAGACTGTATTTGCTACTCCTCAGCTCTGCTGTTGTAGTCTGTAAGAACACCTAATCAGCACTTACACAAATGAATGTTGACTATATCTTAAGAAAACCTTATTTATGGACACAACAATTGAATTTTATTTAATTTTTACACATCACAAAATACTATTTTTCTTTTGCATTTTTCCAGTCATTAA